TCTGAATGTTGAAAGGTGGTGGTGTTTACACAAATTACACCCTAAAACTGCATCAAACACCCCTCAGCAGGAGGCAGGAGACTCCTTCGAAGGGCACCTGATCCACACACACTGAGTGCGGCACCTTCAGGCAGTTTAGCCTCCAAAGCCAGTAGGCCCCCTCCCTAGTTCCACTAGGAGGAGAACTCCAGGCCCTTTTGGCTGCTTAAGGAGCGCTGGGTATGTGGTCAGCACACTCCTGGAGCAAATTCTGTGCAGAGAGAGGTGAGACAAGCACTAAGTAACCTGCGCCTGCACAGCAAGAAGCCTCTAGACCCCCCCACTTCTGAGCAGCCTCCTCCGGCTCAGGGCAGGGCACCTATCCTCTGCCGTGCGGAAGATGAACAAGCATAAAGAGGGCAGGCTGGATGCCCAACTGCCAGGCATAAAAATGAAGCCAGGCTGTGAGCAAAACAAAACAAAAAAATATCTCCAGGTGGTTGGGAGAGCTTTCTCTTCCACTTCTGAATAAAATGAATGGTTCTCTTTTCTAGGCGAAACAAAACTTGTCCAAGTTCAGAGTAAGTTTGCAGAAGCAGAACTAAGAGGCTTCTTTACTTCACCCAGCAAGAACTGCAGCCTGATTCAAAGGGGAGTGATCTCTCCTGGGAAACATGGCTTCTGAGAACAAAACTCAAAGCTTGGCCACTGAATCAATTCCAGAAACAATTCTACTGAATTCGAGCTCTGGCAGGAGCTAGATGTCATCACCTGGTTGTCTCAAATGACCTTTGAACTTCAAAGTAGTTATCAATTAAGGCAGGAATTAATTTTGAGGATGAACTTGAATGAGTATGAATAGGTGAAAGCTGCGCTTTGAAAATAAAAAATATTCAGCCAGCCAATCAATGCTGTATTTGAAAATAAAAGTACTATATAGTAAGTGTACCATTAGGTTCCAGAAGCATGAGCTAGAAAAGAAAGACGTAGGATTCATTCTTACTGAGCACAGAGTCTGGGAGGTGGGCTACCAAGTAGAAAGCTGAAGGCAAGACCTGCCCAGGATCTCAAGGAATTCCAAGCCTATTAAGAGAAACAAAGCGATGCCTGCAGGGTGGGCACACAGGGGGCAGAAGTGCTTCGTGCCTCTGCCATTCATTTTGGTGTCACCTCTTCAGACCTTACTGTTAGCCTGGGAGGCATTTTGGAATGAATGAGTAAAAACAGAGTGAATGACTGAATAAACAATGAAAAGCTGCACTGAAAGGACAGGAGGCCGGTTAACAAAGGACACACGTGGGAGAATTATAATCAGAACTGATGTGAAGCAATACTGCAGAGAACAGTAAGACTGAGAGGTCAGAACAAAATGCAGATGGCCACAAATCTCCCAAGTAAAACTTCTTTAATATGAGGCCAATTGTCTAGGTCAATAAGCAAGAAATTCTAAAAACACTAAGGCAAAGGGGCGGGGGACAGTCTCAGTTTTAAAGCCTTCTGGAAAAAGGTGAAGCATCTCATGAATCTTTAAGAGAAGGTCCTGGAATGCTTTCAAATCTAGGTTTGGCGGGGTAACTGAGGCTAAAATCGCTATCAACCACCTGCTGCACCTAACACCAAATTTCAAAATATTTCCCTGTATGTGAAAACATGCCCCTGCTGGCTTCCCAGAAACAGATGTCCCCTTTCTGTCCACAAGGCAGGACAGTCAGAGCCAGAGGTCTCAGTCTGCTACTACCGCCCTTCCTCCAGTGAGCCAGACCTGGCTCCTTCTGAACTAAGCGGCTCTACGGTCACCGCATTAGAGGGCAGGAACTATCTGCACCCAAGACGGTGACACCATGCTCCAAATAAGCAAGAAACAGTCACTACACAACACCTGCACCAGGAAGGGGAACTTCCACTCACAGGGGCTTTTCACAGGCAACAGTAAAAAGCTTCATAAATAAAAGAAGAGCTTGTTTCTACTTTTCTCTAGGTAATATGTTTTGGTTTTATTTTTCCATTAGTACATTTTTGCAGTATACAGACTAATTCCTCAGTCCATGTCTGAGTTTTCAGACAATAACCCATTTATATAAACAACCACCAAAGAAACTATCCTTCTTGCATAAAAATCTACTAGGTATTCTTGAAGTTTCTTTCGTGCAGCACAGAAAGAGGACACTAAGGAAATTCTAGGACTGGCCAGGAAAGAGACAAATCCCTGTGGATACAGCTGGAACTGAGACCCAGAGGGAAGGAGCTGGTGCAGTCTCAACCGGGGGAGCAGCCTTTCAGCTGTCCTCCCCTTGTGTGGGCACGTGGACATCCTGCCTCACCCAGCCTGGCTGGCCACCAGCTTCTCCTTTGGCGGAGTCCCTGCAGGTGCACCCACACGAGGAAGCAGATGGGAAACACAGCAGTTCTCCACTGCACGGGTGACGGCCTCTCCTGCGAAGAAGTGAGAACAGCCACCGCCGCCAATCTCCCAGCTGTGAACACAGAGCACTCAGCCTTCAAAACAGACTTAGGTCTCCTTGCGCACACGCACAAGAAGTTCCTAGAGTACAATGTAAGTCAATGAAAAAAAAGGGACTTTCACTTAAAGTTCTCAAACATAGTGACAATGCTGTTCACGGTCTGCTACCTGAATACTTTATTATATGGCTTTTCCTTCAAAATGCTGCTGCTGTTGTTACAAAACACAAGGAACCCAAACTGTCTCCAAGAGAACAACTTCCACAAAATGTAGTACTCTTAGCTGTCTTCCAGTGTCAGCTTTATGAAAACTACAACATGGCAGATGGAGTGACCTAAATCACAGACAGCACCTCACAGGAAGATTTTCTGGACTATCTGCAGTGCTGAGCTGCTGAAGAATATTGCACAGCACAGACAACTAGCCTAGGTTACAGGTAGGAGGCTTCCAGATGGTTTTTGTTTCTGCCAGTCCCTTCTGTGTGTGGCTGCTGGGCTGCCTGCTGCCCTTCTTGCCACTCCACAGCATCAGAGCTGTACAGGACAACAGTGTCTCCCATGGTCCAAAGAAAGAAATGGAGGCCTGACCCTGTACCTGGCAGTCTTGTCCTCAGGTGCTCCAGGCTGTTCAGTGCTCCTGTCTTGCTTTCAGTCTGTTAGCAGTGAATGAGCTAAGGCATAACCTCTTTTCCCAAGTAGACCACCTTTAACCCTCTTCCACCCTGAGCTAGTGTGTGCAACGCATACGATGAAGAGAAGTGAACATGCTACACTACTGGGAAAGAGCAAGAACACAGACTCCTAAGGCAACCCAATGAGTGCTGTGACAGCCATGTGCAGAAAGCTCTAGAAGGTGTCAGGAAGAGGCACCAACTCTGGGGCCAAGGAGGTAGCATGTCCTGACCTCAAAATTGCCTGACTGTCACAGATCAGGGGACAGCGAGCTGGAAAGAGGGGCTGGAAAAGAAGAGACAGCACAAGAGCAGCTGGAAGGAGAAGTGTGGCGCTGATTAGAGGATGTGGAAGCACTGGAGGCTGTTCCCTTGGACCAAGAGCAGTTGCTAACAGTTCAAGAGCAGGAGACGCCCTCATCAGAACTGTGCCTCAGAAAACAACTCTGAAGCACAGTACCTCGGGGAGGCAGGGGGAGTGGAGGTGACAACAGCGTGACTGATGCTGAATGAGGAACTCACTGTCCCTTGATCCCTGCATCCAGGAAACTGCCTACTTAGTATGTTTCCTTGGAGAAAAGCAGTCTCGCTAAATATTTGAAGTCCTTTTTAGTTGTGGCATTAGTAGGAGCAGTGAAAGAGGTGAGCTGTGCTGCTTTTCTATTCTGATGACCACCTTGGGCCCATGCAGCCCCAGCTCCACTGCAGAGGGCACTGTGCACTGACCACTGGCCCATCCCAGGCAGAAGTATGAACTCCCGGAGTCCCAGCAAGCTGCCTAACACCCCCTCCACCAATGCACGGTCTCAAGGGGCTTCAGAGGGATTTCTGGTATTTCTGGAGTCTAACATCCGAGTTACGAACCACCTCACTGTGAATAAATGGCTCAACGTCTCAGAATCCAAGAATCAAGTTTCTATTCCTTTAAATGGAGGGCCCTGTCCCTAACCTTGGATGCCTGGTTAGTGAGGCGAGCCAGACCCTGTCCTTTCTCAGATTGCTTCCAGTGGTCCTACCTTCCCCAATCCTTCTTATTCTAAGACCCTAAGCTTCCATAAGTTTAATCCCAAATTATCCTGAAGTGCCCTTTATAAATTTCCAACTTATAAAGAGCTGTTTCATGATTATTTTACTTTGTGAAGGTTCTTTTGTAAAGTAGAGAATGATTTTCCAGAGAGAAAAGATATAATAAACTGAATAAACTGACACTCTCAATTTGTAACCACCCCCAAAAAGCTAAGTTTTATATTTTTTTTCTTTAACATAACTTCAATGTAACTTTTTAATTCAATCAAGAGTAACATATACACGTATATACACATATACAGGTAGGTATGATTAGGACCCACTTATTTTTCAGGGTCCAAACAATCTATAAGCTCATTTTACAGTGAGGTAAGTTTACTAATGAGTATACTAATGAGATTAGTATTACTGTGCTGGCCATGGTACATTTAAACTCAGTATGATGCAATATTTGCTTTTGTTAGCATCTGAGAGTAGCCTGATAAAAGCAGAAGGCAATCCTGACTTCCGCCGCTTTACAGACCACCCACAGAAAGGAAACTTGCAGCTCTGCCCACAGCACGCAGTCCTGGTTTTGCTACGCGGACATGTGCTCTCTAAAGCTGAAGGGTCGCCTTCTGTTTCTTGTTCTCTTTGTCCCTCTCCCCTGCCATTCCAATTCTCTCAGACACCCTCAGCAAAGGCAAGTGTGCACTCATGTGACAAAGAAGGCCAGCCCCCAGTGCAGCTCTTTCTGTCTCCACGCAGATGCCCTTGGTAGGACATACCTCCCAACTTCCAATGTGCCCATGGCCACATTTTGGTCAAATTCAAATTCCAACAAGTTCAGAGAGGTGAATAATATTTTTTCTCCTGATGTCTTACCTCTTTCACATGGGTGTGAAAGGACACCGACATGTCCAGCAGGATCTTTCGCTGCTCAACACGCCGCACAAAATCTTGTATCCGGTCTTCAAGCTGATGGGCAGCCTGATAAATCTCTTCCGGGTCACATTCCCCAGTCTGAGCCAGCTGTTCTGCTGCTTCTAGCAACTTATCTGCATTGGTGTATGTGTTCTGCACAAGAGAACACCCAGAGAAATAGCATGAATCAAAAGCAAACTGCCCACTCTGGGCATTATAACAAATAGCAAATCAGTCAATTAATGATACTTCAGTTTATTTACCCATATCAAACAGAAAAAAAATGTAATGCACAGCAATGATTCTATGAGTCCTATACATTTTTTTTTTTTTTTTTTGTCTTTTTCCTTTTTATTGGTACTGGGGATCGAACTCACGACTGCCTGCTTGCAAGGCAGGTGCTTATGCCGCTGAGCTAAATCCCCAGCCCTTGTCCTATACATTTCTATGGGCAACCTCTTCCAATATCATTTTAGACTGTTGAACTTTGACCCTTATGGCAAAGCCCTTGCATCTAAAGCAGAGTTGGGGTATCTGTGGGCACCTGCTGGCTGTCTCATGCCTTCAGGTTTTGTGAAGGTGGGGCCAGGAAACAGCCCATGGCCACAAGTGCTTGCTTTCACTTTTCTCCCAACTGTATGACAGAGTGGTAAATTCCAGTTCCTTCTCTTTTGGTGCACTGGTTTATGACAAGCCCCAGTTTAACGTTAAACCTGACACAGCATACACTGATGTCTCTTTCCACATTTTTCTACTTACTGGTCATCTCTTTTTCTACTTTTTTAAAAAGGAGATAATGGCTATAAAACAGCTGGAATTTTAAAGAGCTGAAAGAAGTGCAAATGCACATGTGAAGTAGTCAGAAGAATACTGCTGAAAAGCCCTGAGACCACTGCTGAAAGCTAGGCAAGGGGCCACTGCCTCAGAGACCAGCCAGCGGACTTCAGTGCAGTAAAATAGCAGAACTAAGGTTCCAGAAATACCCAGAAAATCGGTCTGAAGCTCCCCCTTCCCCCGAGAAACAGCTGAGTCCTTCACCCTCCAAACAACTAAGGTCTAAAGCTGAGCAGGGCAGGTGAGTCATCAGAGCCTGAGGAGGGTGATGAAGGGGTTCCCGCAGCGGAATGGTAATGGCACAGAAGGTGAGGCCCTGCAGAGTGGTCAGGGGGCAACTGCATGAGACTGCTTTCTGCTGCCAGTAACACAGTACCACTTTGGCTGGTCTAGCTGCCTCATCCAGTGCTGGCCTTCCTTCTGGCACAGCAGCACAGGCATCACATGGGGGCCAGAGACAGGGGAGTGTGCAGGTGTCTCCTTCCACTTACAAAGCTACCAGTAATCAATTATAACGGCTCCATCCAGTAACTTTGTCTAGTCCAAATTACTCCCAAATGTCCAGCTCCAAACACCAGTCAGATCAAAATTCCACTCTTTAATACCTCCTGTTGGGATGTAAGTGCACAGGTACTTTGGCAGGAACACACTAAAACCATATCCATACCACAGCATTCTGTCCTGGTCCCTAAAGTTGAGGTTCTTCTCACAAAGCAAAACAGAATCATTCAGTGCCCAATAATGCCACTGTCTCAACTCATTTTCAGCATTAATTCAAATCTATGGAATAATTCATTAATCCAAAGTCTCATTTTAGACTCAAGGTAAACTGCTGGTTGTCAGCCTGAAAATAAAAGTAAAACTTTAACAGAATGGTTAAATACGTCTAAGACATAATAGCAGACAGGGACAGGATAAACACTTCCATTCCAAGACAGAGACAAAAAGAAAGGAGTAAACAGGCCAGAGTGCTGGGCACACATTAGCCCTCAACGCTGCAGGCTAGCATCTGTGCATGCTGCAGTGAAAGTGTGCATCCAGGTTCTCGGACGCATGCTGACCTTGGCAGCTCTAATAGGCAGGCATGGCGTGTGAGCTGCTCATTGACCAACCTTTCTGGAGTCCCTGGTGCAACTCTATTTACACAGCCCACAAGCTACCACCCCAAGAGCCACTCTGCAGGGCTCTGACTCTGTGACACACTTGTGGGGAAAAAGGATTTCAGGAGCTCTATACATTTCTATCAGCAACCTTTTCCAGTATTGTTTTAGACTGTTCAGCTTTGACCCTGGTGGCAAAGCCCTGGCATCTAAAGCACAGAGAGGCTAGGGCTAGGGATTTAGCTCAGCGGCATAAGCGCCTGCCTTGCAAGCAGGCAGTCGTGAGTTCGATCCCTGGTACCGATAAAAAGGAAAAAGACAAAAAAATAAATAAATAAAGCACAGAGAGGCTATCTCTGTCACAACTCAGAAAGTGAGGAAGTCACCTTTGAAATCTGTGGAAATCCCCTTGATCCCTTAACTCTTGCATTTTGTGTGCCTGCAAAGTCAGCTTCACTTGGATGCCAAAGCCTGCATGGCAGCAGCTGTACATAGGCCTGTGTGAGTCATGGCTGAGTGGCTGCAGAGAAAGCCAGAATCCCAAGGCAGTCGTGAGCTCGGGCAGTGAACCTATTCAGCAGAGCACCCTAAGGCTGCAGGGACAGCTGCACCCTGGAGAATCTGAAATGCCCTAAGGCCTTTTTCTAACTGTCTTAGGGCGTTAGAATTTCTGTTCATTTCTTTAGAAAGTGTTTGCATATCCTCACTGGTCCATCATTCTTAATTTCCAGTCTTCTGAAACTAGTGCAATAAAGTTGGTGTTTTGCCCAATTCCTAATAGAAGCCCGATTTGCATCTGGTACTAGGTCACAGATCTCCTCGTCTTCTAAATCCTCCACAGTTAGCTGTAAGGTTCTACATAGAGCACTGTACGGTTTTTTCTGACCTGCCCTCCAAACTCTTTCAGCCTTTGCCTATAACCTGATTCCAATGATACTTACGCATTTTCAAGAATTTGTTGTTGCTGGGAACAGGGCCGCTATTCAGGATCAATTTTCTGTCTTGTGCTGGTTTTCAAGACTATAACAAAAGTACCTGGGCCAGGCTATACATAAGGAGGTTTGCTTAGTCCACTTTTGGAGACTACAAGTCTAACTCAGGTGGCATCACTATGCTGGAATCCCATGAGGAAAGAAATCCCATCTTAAGCAGCCAGAGAAAGCCTGAGGAGTTAGCTTAGCAGCACAAGCACCTGTTTGGCAAATGTAAGGTCATGAATTTGATCTCCAGTACCAAAAAAAAAAAAGCAGCAGCAGCCACCACAGAAAGACTGGGTTCCCAAGGCTCCTTTTAAGAGCACACCCCTAACTAAGTTAGGGCCCTCCAACCAAGCAGTACTTGTTAAAGGTTCCATCTTTCAACATCATCACTCTGAGGATCAAGACACCAGCAACTGAATGTTTCAGAAACAACATCCAAAACACAGCAGCATCCTTTTGGGGAAGCAGAGGCTTCCAAGTTGGAAGACTGATTACATCCAGGGGAACTTGGTGAAGTAAGTCAGCATGTTAGGAATAATCAGAGCCATGTTTCTTAATTTACAAAGAAAGCAAAGCTTTCACCTGGCCAAATGGGTTAGAACTGGAGGTATCGGTGAGAATACATGATGTTCCAACACTGTTATGCACAAGCGTGTGTGTGTGTGTGTGTGTGTGTGTGTGTGACACACATTCATTTTCTCTCTCCCTCCCAGCAATGACCCAGTAACAGTAAACAAGCTCAGCACCAGGTCTGTGCTTCTAATTCCCATTCTCCTCTGCAGGGAATCAGGACCCCTTGGAGAAGTAACCGACTGCAGGGCTCCACAAGATAAAGTAAACACAAGTCTGAGTCACCCTACTGAATCCCAAAACAAGGAAGTATTCAAAGCCAAGGGTGGCCCAATCAGGAATCAGAAGCCAGCCTAAGAGGTCCTGCTGGCCAGCTGAGTGAAGCCGCTCTCTGAGCATCAAGATCAACAATCAGAGTCACAGAGTAGCATTGCTGAATACAACACGGACACCACCACAAGGCCATGACCACGCAAAGAAATAACACTGGGAAAAGAAACAGAATACAATGGGACCTGGGCTCACAAACTTCATTCATTTCACAATGCTGATCAAGAACTGAATGGATAGCGACTAGAAGCCTTTGTGAACCAAGGCATTACACTGAACCTTACAGGGAAATCTGATTTGCTTCATGACCAGAACAATGGAATGACTTACGCTCATGAAGAGAGGTACCACTGTTCTTACAGAGCTAAAAAGCACCTCCCCACAAGGTACTATTTTTTTTTTAAATACACTAATTTCAAAGGAGGAAACAACAACTTTCAGGATGAAACGCTTGGCAGATGCCACCCTAACTGAGCACAGAAAGAACACTGTATGTAAGAGGACAAATTAAAATCATGTGTCACCTGATGAGGTACTATGTGAAGAAAGCATTATTTCTGTGACACTCCCACCCAAGCACCACCTGAGTCTAACAGTAAGGAAACATCAAAATCCACACAAGGAATAGTTTCTGAATTATGGGCTGAAATTGTCCCAAATGTCTATTCAAAATCTCACAGAATGCTTTGGAAATTTTAAGATTATACTGTGTACTATAAACAACAGGTCTTTAAAAGCTCTTAAAGTGAGCTGAGATGTCAAGGAAGCCCTTAAAATTTACTACATGTTAAGCGAAATACGTCAGACACACAAGATTGAATACTATATGGTTTTTCACATGAGAAATTCAAAGTATAAAGAAGGTAAAGAATAAAATAAAAGATAAAAGGAATCAGGGAGACCGGTCTGCAAACGGAAAGGGGCCGAGGCGATGAAGGGAGGAGGAGGGCAGAAAGGGAAGGGGATGTAAAAAAAGAAAAAAAGATGTGTGTACACGCACCAAATACCTACAATTAAAGTAGTCATTATGCATCATAAAGATGTACTAATAAATAAAAATTTAAAAAATAAATTCTACCTATATAACACGTTAAAAAAATTTATTTCAGCCAGACTTGGGAAATGCTTCTGTGCATATTTACATGTCTTCTAGGTTCAAAGTATTTGAAATGATGAGAAAATCAGTTGCCAATCTAAGTACAGCACCAAAAAGCAAAAAGAGTTTTATAGACGTTCACTAGGATATTTGGGGATGCTAAGCTATAATAACTCCTGTGTGGAGCAGGAAAACTGCCTACAGGACAAGCTTTGTGAGAGCAAACCACACTGCACAAACGTC